CAGAGACGGAGGACCTGAGAGAGACAGTAGAGAGATGCCGGGGGGAGATCGAGGAGCTGAGGGAGACAGTGAGGGAGACAGTGGCGAGACACAGAGAGACTGAGGAGCTGAGGGAGACAGTAGAGAGACACACAGAGACGGAGGACCTGAGAGAGACAGTAGAGAGATGCCGGGGGGAGATCGAAGAGCTGAGGGAGACAGTGAGGGAGACAGTGGAGAGGTACCGGAGGGAGACTGTGACGCTCGGACAGGGGTGTGAGACACAGGCGAGGCAGCAGGCAGAGGGCAGTGAGGCACAGCCCAGTGTAGTCAAAGCCCTCCTGTAACCAGCCCTGGTTAATGAAGTCCTGGGTAGGTGATTACGTGTCTCGATCAACCGTCCAGGCAGACAGGATGAACAGGCAGATGCAGGAGTCCAGATCACGGGACAAAGGGAGGAGAGCTCTTTATTCCGGATCACCTAACGAGGCCGGACTGCAGCGGCGCATTCGGACCTCGTTAAGAGACCTTGCTCTTTTGTCAGTTTTAGGAAACTCTGATTTCCCTCGAAAAGCGTCCCTTGGTTAAAAGCAGCCTCTACTTGTGGGCCGATGCAGTTTTTGAGCGAGGAGACGGGAATCCCTTTCGTCTGGTGGTGTCTGGGTTGGTTTCACCGCAGGTTGTATTCGGGTTAGTTTAGAACGTATCTTAGCTCTTGCTCTGGGCCGCTGTCGGCATTATTTAAGAATCCTTGGTAAAACGGTCTTTGGATTTCCTCGGTAGTTATGTGTCTGAATCATTACTCCTCTCCCCGAAGCTGTGCCAGAGAACGAAGACGAGATCATTTACTGGGTGGGGGTTCGGATGATTTAGCTTTAGGGATTGATTTACCTACTCGGTCATGTCCTGATCTCTGTTGTCTTGTCATTATCCTTCCCACTCGTGACAATATTCGACGGGGGAGCCCGGCTGGGGCAGACGTGCAGCTGACATCCATCTTCCTGCATGTAGAGCAGCTGGAGTGCCCTGCGGCACAAACACGCAGAGCACGCAGAGCAGTTCCTGAAGCTAGGCATCCCTGGACCATTTACCCAGCATGCCTCTGTGTGGCGGAGGAAACTACGTTACCCAGAAACACCTGCAAGAACTGGGGGGAGGCATGCAGACACTCTCCAGGATCCAAATACATAAAGGTCTAAATAATGAGGAAAA